TGTGAGATAACTTGACTGCAGCCGATATTTTTCTGTTGATTTTCTTTTTTTTCAATCTTCTCTATTTCAATATTAAATTTGTTTTTAATATTCCACATTTTTCACGCTTTCTATCCCTATTTTTAAGATTTTAATTATATTTTATGAATTATTTTTAATCTTGTGGAAATATTTATAGTGTAAATATTACTTTATTTTACTTCTTATTATCATTGTTATATTTATATATTTCAAATTAATAGTTTAAAAATCAAGTTGAATTAAAAAATATAATTGTAAAATAATTCTGAAATAGAAGTCATAATTTAACAATAATTTATAGAAATAAAAATGAAAAGTAACTTTTATTGATTTTTAGAAATCTAATATCTTTAACAAATTGTCATTTTACATTAGTAATGCAATTATCATTAATCTATAGTATTACTATAAATTTCCATGGCATTGAAGTTTCTGCATGAATAATCTGCAATCCGCTTAGGTTTATTACAAGTGGGCAATTTTCATTGTCTACTAATACCTTAAATTGGAAAGTCTATATAACGAAAAGTTATCGTGGAATATGCATATATTATCGTTTATAAATCTTTCATGAAACTTTATTTAGTTATTACTCAATCAATAAATACAATTAAGATTCATAAAATACTACGTTATTACAAGAAATCCTTAAAATGCAATATTTTATGATAAATTATAATATTAATTAAATTATAATATTAATATAAATAAATATTAAAACTGAATTAAAATTATAATTATTATTAAAATAAATTATAATTTTATCTAGAATTATAATCTATATATTGGTATACATAATAAAGATTTATATAATTAATATTCTTTTATTCTTCTATTGCAAGAAATTAAACAAAAAATTCAATTTGATTTTTATATTATTTTCTTTACAAAAGTTTACATTTTATTTTTTACAAAAGTTTATATTTCTGTCTCTTTTCTAAATCAATAATCTGATTTTTAATATGAATGAAATTAAAAGAAAATACAAATTCCATTTTTCTTTAGATAGATCTTGCTATATATTTTTATATATAGAAAAAATTACAATAAAAGAGTATCCAATTTTGAAAAAAAAAAAACAAAATTGTTGATTTTTCTCAAGAGAATAATATTTTATTTTATTTGTGGCAATATAATTTTAATTTATAAATTTTTTTATATATTTTATATATATATATATATATATATAATTTATATATATATATATATATAT